TTCTACTAAATACTGAGCAAAGGGTCTGAATACTTATGACCATGTGATATTTCAGTTTTTCTTTTTTAATAAATCTGCAAAAATGTCAAATCCTGTGTTTTTCTGTCAATATGGGGTGTTGTGTGTACATTAATGAGGAAAAAAATGAACTTAAATGATTTTAGCATATGGCTGCAATATAACAAAGAGTGAAAAATTTAAGGGGGTCTGAATACTTTCCGTACCCACTGTATCATCAGCTTTCAGACCAGTGACTCTAAATTAACACTGCTCTTATGTAACACAAAAATTTCCCCACTGTGGGATCAAAAAAAGTACCTACCTACCTTTCTAATCGCCCTCACCTCACACATTTGGGGGCAGTGAAGGCATTTTCAAGGAGAGGTTAACATACAAGTGTCAAAGGCAATTAGGTGTGTGTGTGTGTGTGTGTGAGAGGGGGAGGGGGAGGGTTTGGAGGGTGAGGTCTTTGGAGCACTGCCATGTCTCATATCAGCAGAAGTTTCAGTCTGAGCTGATTGTCACCAAAACACCTTCAAGAACAGCCGCAGCAGAGGTTGAGAGAATACTAGGCCGAACCCTATAACAATGTGAATAAACACGTTTGTACAGATATTTTTGTGCCGATACTTGACATAATGTGCTACATAGCTCCTTAAACTCACCTTGACATCACACCTAAAGGTATGACTGAATCTGAACCCTAACACCAAGTCTTAAACCTCAAACAGCCTTTTCAAGGTGTGTTAGAAAGTGAAGACCAGCAAGAATGTCCTCATTTCCATATAAAACTCAAAGTGGTCCTCACACTGTATAGCCATATGAGTGTATACACACATGTGCACAGGCATTCAGTCCCTTGTAGTCCACTGGAATCAAAGGTATTTGTCTGTGTCTTGGTGTTTTCGTCTGTGTGCTGTATGAACAGCATGGGGACATAAATACAAAGCTTGTCCCCAGGTTATAACGACATTGTGTCAGAACAATGTCAGTTTGTTTGTGTGCAGCTGCTGAGTAATTCTGCACTCAGTTTTTTAAAAAAGATTTTGAGAGGTTATGGCAAGGACAAACCTGAATCTACTGGGCAGTGTTTTTAACAACCAGAGTGTAGCTGGAAAGATGCACACTGTCTAAAACTAAAGCAAAATTGTTTATCTTTTCATGGCCAGAACATTTTCTCTCATAGTAAGTGAATTTATTCTGTAGCTGTCTCTACCCACACTAATGAAGCATTATAAGTGTGCTAATGGATACTTGATAAAAGCATATACACATCACTAGTGTGTCAGAAGGTTGTGACTCTCAAAAAAATGTCTGCATTAACTTTTTACACATAATTATCTAAACAGTGCTACACGTCCGCTGGCACCCCTTTGTCTGTGCAGCTGGATTTTTATTGTCTCGGATGGGGTACCCTCCCCTTCTGTCTGCAGGCAGAGCACAGGTGTGTAGGAGAGCAGCTTTCTCTGTACGCACTAACAATATTCCCCTTTTATTCTACCATGGTGAACTGCTGTACAGCAGACCTGCAGCCATTTTCTCACACAGGTCCTCTTTCTGAGCTTCCAACTTTTCTTTGCTTTAATATTTTGAATCTTTTGTTAAGGAAAATCCAGCTAAACATAAAACAAGATATATATGTACAGAAGAAAGACTTGCAGTTATGTAGTTACAACATACAAGGTCAAACCTATTGTTCCTAAAATGAAATTGTGAAAAACCCCCCACTATGTCTGAAACAAAGGACT